CCCGTCCACGCCCCTGCCCTCCACGGGGCCCGTCCCGTGCCCGTCCACACCCCTGCCCTCCACGGGGCCCATCCCGTGCCCGTCCACACCCCTGCCCTCCACAGGGGCCTGTCCCATGCCCGTCCACGCCCCTGCCCTCCACAGGGGCCTGTCCCGTGCCCGTCCACGCCCCTGCCTGTCCACGCCCCTGCCCTCCACAGGGCCCTTCCTGCTTCCCTCGCTGGGTTGCTGTGCTCGGACTCCTCAGGCCCCCTTCCCGCTTCAGCCCCTGTAGCCTCTTGGAACCCCACTTGGGCGTCCCCTGGGGTCCCTGCGTGCCCCGCTCCAGGTGGAGGCGTTGAGTTCTGTCTCCCTGTTGTGAGCTCATTGAGGGAAATGCTAGTTTTGATTTGCTTTTGTTTGTAAAAGCTGGTCTCTGTTGGACAACTTAAAAAAGTAAGATCTAGAGCTCAAGGCGTGGCTCAGAGGTGAGTGGGCTCCCGTGGGCCAGGCTGCTGCTGCCGGCCGTTCCATTTTTGGTGTAAAGTTCTGTTAATGTTCTGGACTGCTCCCGCTGCTCCAGCCAGCCTTGCATGTCTAATGTAAATGAGGAGAAGACAATGGCAACAGGGAGCAATATCTTCAAGTGCTGATGGATGCCTCACAGGAGCTGCAGACTCAGCCTCTGTAGAAGCCTAGGATAACTCCCCCCAACTGGTGGTCTTAGTAACAGTGTCCTCAAAGTCTTCGTCATGCTTGTGCTGTGTCTTGTTCCTGACACATGGAAACAGTGGACACGCGGGGTGATCAGTGTTTACGGCCGTGAGCCCTGCGTCTGACGCGGTTCATCCCGCGTCCGTCGTGCTCTCATTCCCAGCCGAGCTGGTGTAGGGAGTCGGAGCTGCCTGCGCGGCGCACAGCCAGGGGCGGCCGGGCGGCTCGGAGGCGCATACCTGCAGCCCGGGGCCTGGGCGACTCGGTCTCGCCGCTCACCTGTGCTTTTCCCGGGCTCTCTTCCTCTTGCTAAGTTGGCCTAGCAAGAATGCTGGACAAGACTTTTCCTCACTGGAAATCATCTTTGTTTCTCTGACCTTTTGTAACCTTTTACTTTAGCCTCTGCTTGACATTTGTTTTAATCCTGAAGTTGTCTTTTGAATTCGCCTTACCTTTCCTGCTGCCCTTTGAGGTCAAGGACAGTATTCTCTGGATCTTAGCCGCACCAGCCCGCGGCCGGGGGAGCGCGGCCTGGACGGTGATGGAGGGGTAGGATGAAGGGGAGACGCGTCCGGGTGCCTCACTGGCCTCTTGTCAGCTGTGGAAACAAGTATCTTGTTAAACACTTTGAACAGTAATGTAAAGATGAGTTTTTTACATGTTAGACCTAAATCTTTTAAAAAGGCCATTCCACTTGTGTCGTGGGACAGGATGAGGAGCGTGGGCGGGGAGCTCGCGTCACCCCGCGCGTCGGCGCCTCCGGCTCACTTCCCCTTTTCCACACTCTTACTGCAATGGCGGTGCTCAGAGGGTACAGTTAGATAAGTCAGGTGATGCGCACGTCTCCTCCTCCACTGCCCTTGGCCCTGTCAGTGGGCCTGGCTCTTGGTACGTTGGGCCCACGACACATTCCCACAGGCATCACTTCGCAGCTTAGCTGCCTGCGTCTCCCCTCTCCTTCCATTCCATCACTCATGCGAACTAGTCTTTTGTCTGTTTAGGCTTTCTGAGGTAGAGGTGATGGTTTGTCTACTCAGTGGTTAGTTCAGGGGTAGGCCGCCGGGACCATGCACACTTGTGGAGAGACTGGAGTTAGTGAGCTGTTTCACACACGTTTCCAGATGAGGACTGTGCGATCTGGGCTGATAAGGTGCTCAGACCCAGGGACCTTGTCCTGAGCCTACCAATCCCACGTGATTTATTTTGCTGGAAGTTTGGGTTTGGATGATAGAGAATATTAGTGTCGGCTCTGGGCTTCTTTGATGTTTTCCCTAGAGGTAGGAAGGTAGAATCTCACTGAAGAATAGCTATGATGGCAAAAATAGAATTAAACAAATTTTAGATTTGATCAGTTTTGAAGACAGAGTAGATAATACCGTACCTTTATAACTGGTGATTGATTAGTGAAGTTTCTTTCTTTCTTCCTTTCTTTCTTTTTTTTTTTGTTGGTCATGGGGCCTGAACTCTGGGCCTGGGCACTGTCCCTCAGCTCTTCAGCTCAAGGCTAGCACTCTACCATTTGAGCCACAGCGCCACTTCGGTTTTCTGCTTGTGTGGTGCTGAAGAATCGAACCCAGGGCCTCATGCCTGCAAGGCAAGTGCTCTACCACTGAGCCACCTTCCCAGCTCTAGTGAGGTTTCTTGTGTTTTTTCTTTTTTTGTTTCTGTTTCTGTGATGAGAGGCTTATCTGTAAACCCATCATTTCCCAGTGTGGGATAATTTTTATAATACCAGTTTTGGATACTCATGAAAGAAAGACATATTGGAGTAATAAAATGTTGTATATGAAGATGACATAAATGGGATGTTCTACATACCTCTAATGTACTGTATAGATTTCTTGGTTTAGACATTATGTTGGTAAATATAAATGGAAAAACAAATGTTTGCCTAGTTGACCTATTCCTTCTAGTTCTAAAATAATGGCTTGGGGATGCTCATGCGCATGTGTGTGCGCACACACGCACACATGCACACGCGCGCGCACGCACACACACACACACACACACACACACACACACACACCCATCTCTAGCGTCTTGATCTTTGCAATTCATGCTCTTGTTTGCCATTGGGACCTCGCAGAATTCTTAGTGTAATCCTTTAAACTCTAAAACTATCCAATTTAAGTATGTCGATTTTTCAGTGAAGTTTTGATGTATTTAGATACTAAAATGCATAAATATATTAAGTATGTAAAAAAAAGGAGTTTAGACACTTTTGGAGGCGTTTTGGTTATTTGAATGAATACATTATATACAATAATAGACCAGCTGAGTGCTTGTAGCTCATGCCTGTAATCCTAGCTACTCAGGAGGCTTGAGATCTGAGGATTGTGGTTCAAAGACAGCCCAGGTAGGAAAGCCTGTAGAACTCTTATCTCCAATTAATCACCAAAATACTGGAAGTAGAGCTGTGGCTTAAGTGGTAAGGCATCAGCTTTGAGCTAAAAGCTCAGGGATAAATAACACCAAGCCCCAGGACTGTCCCCCGCCAACCCCCCCAAACCCCCCCCCAAAAAAAGGAAGAAATAGACCAAAGGCCTAAGCATTTTAATAAGTATGGATTTTATAATGTTACATTATTGAGTAGTTTTATCTTTAAATTTAGATTCTTGAAGACCTGGATGAGCAAATTTATATTATTACCCTGGAAGAAGAAGCACTCCAGAGACGACTCCATGGTACTTGTGTATCGTGTCTTTATAGCGATTGAATTGAATGGACAGATAATTGAGTAATAGGTACTTCATGGGATGGGGACTCACCAAAAGGCTGATGGAGATGAGCAGTGGCCAGCTGGCCAGCGACCCTGGGCCCCCCTCCCCACCTGACCCCCCAGGCAGTGGTCACTGGGGGCTGCAGACATCCACCCACAGCTCCTCAGCTGATCCAGGCTGGCCTCACTTCTCACCCCTCCTGTAGAGAGGATGTGGAGAACTTTGTGGCCTGGGGATGTGACTAGCTCTCAGCTCTCCACCAAGTAAGCAGGTCAGACCCTCCGAGTCTTAGTGACTATTCATATTGGGCCTTTAGTGGAGAACCAATGAAGAGAAGAGTAATAATGTTGCTTAGGAAAATTTTCTATAATTTAATCTGAACTGCCTCTCCCCAGATCGCATTATCAATATCTAATAATATTTGTGAGTCACAGTTCACCACCAAGATGAGATGATCAATATCTAATTACATTGTCAATCATAATTCAAGGGTGTGTAAATGTGAAGAAATACACCTACTTTCTTCAACTACAAATAGTAAGCTTAAGTTTTCAACCAAAACTTGTTGATAATGTTTATAGGTTTATTCTCAGGTCAAAACATTTTGATTTCTGTGTATATTCTAGAGAATGTTAGTTGGTGACATTGTATACTTTGATGCAGGCCAGCTTTTGGACTTAAACCACCTATGTCTTTTATCTTTTATTAAAGCTGTATTTGCCTTTCAGAATTACAAACTTGAATCAACATTTCAGCGTTATGGGTTTATTGTAGTAGATACTGTAATAAGTTTATCTTCTTTGGGTAATTGTGTCATTGCGCAGTAAGCAAGCCAGCGTTGCAGAGATTGGGAATCTGACTGCGGCCTGCAGTGCATGCGAGGAGCATGCACACAGGTACAGGCAGGCAGGACAAAGCGCAGCTCCAAGAACGAGCAAAGCCCTCAAGTCTTGGTTGTCTCTCAAGTGTTGCCACACAGGGAGCCTTCCTGGGTCTAAGACACCGAGAAGGAAATTCTGGCTATCCGGTTATCCATGTGACAGAACAAAGCTCAGTGAGAAGACAGACCCCACAGCCAGCGCTGACACAGTGCAGCTGTGGTCTGCCTTCCCAGAGGCCTGGGAGGGAAGCGGAGACGGCTAAGGAGAAGGCGATTTTATACCATTTGGTTGGCCAAGCATCCTTTGAGACTCTTCTGGCTGACCTGTCGGTTTCTAAAATCGTTTCAATGATGGTTTTGATATTTGCTACTGGTTAGTCATTGTGAGCTGTTTTAGATGAGAAATAATAGGCTACATAAGTGATTTTATATCAGAATTGACTTTTTTTTTAAGTACTGAAATTTTGAGTTTGGGATCTTGGGCTTGGCATACAGGCACTCAACCCTTAGGCTCAAACCCCAGTCCTTCTCTGTTCTAGTTATTTCTCAGATGAAGCTTTGGGTTTTTGTCTGGAGCCAGCCTTGGACCCTAGCTCTTTCCTTTTCAGATAAGATCTTGAATTGGACCACAGTCCTCTTACCTCCTGGGTACCTAGAGTATGCCCAGCTTACACATGGCCTGCTCTTAACTTGTATTAAAAGTTCTAAGTTTCAGTAGAGTTTATTGATTGAGGCATGCAGGGAGAAAAAGGAAAAAGTTTTGTGATTTGTTAGTTTTAAAAGAAAGTGTGGAAGTAGGGTGTTAGTGTGCCGCAGCACCTCCCTGGATCTTACTGGTGTGTATGCCAGTGAAAAGCCCGTCCTGGGCTTGAACTCGGGGCATGGGCTCTGTCCTTGGGGTTTTTTTTGCTCAAGGCCAGTGCTCTAACCACTTGAGCCACAGCTTCACATCCAGCTTTTTGGTGGTTAATTGCAGGTAAGAGTATCAGAGTTTCTTGCTTGGGCTGGCTTTGAACTGGGATCCTCAACTCTCAGCCTCCTGAATAGTAGAATTCTAACTAGAATTCTAGGCATCAGCCACTTCACCTGACAAAAATGTGTTTTGTTGTAGCCAATTATTTTCTAAGTTATGAAACAAAAGGTTTTAATTTTTTAATCTTGTTTTTTGAAAGAAATATAGAAAGGGAGAAAGAAAGCTTCTTTTACCGTGTGTAAATCCAATTTATCACCCAAGTCAAGGGTTCTAATGCTAATAAAAATGGAGCGTGTGGGGGTGTGGCTCATTTTACAGTTACCTGAGAAACATGACACTTCAGGGGGGTGAGAGGTGCTGTCCTGTGGCAACAGCACTTTTTGGGTCAGTTGTAAGACTTGAACTCTAGGCAGCTTGGGCACTATCCCTGAACTCTTGCTCAAGGCTAGTGCTTTACCATTTTGAAAAGCAGCGTCACTTCTGGTTTTCTGGTGGTTAATTGGAGATAAAAGGAGAGTCTCACAGAAATTCCTGCTCAGGCTGACTTTGAGCTGTGATCCTCCTCAGATCTCAGCCTCCTAAGTAAAGTAACTGGGATCACAGGTGTGAACCACCTGTGTCCGGTTCGGGCAGCACTTCTGTCTTAGAGGTAGGATCAGTTGTGGTAGCTGTTCTGTTCCTGGAGTTGAATTTTCAGAATTACCAGGGCAGCTGTGTCATAGAGTGCTTGGCTGACCCCACCATTGTTCTCTTGTAGCTCACCCTTGGTGGTGGCATCTGTGTAGGGCTGTTGCGTGTTTTTGTGGTTCATTCATAGGATATGTTAAAAAATTAAGCAAAGGTTGGACTATTGCAGCATAATTGTGTCCTACAGAGGGTGTCCTAAACACTTAAGGAAGAGAAGCAGAGGACAAGGGTTCTGTGTGCTCCTGAGCAAGACCAACTTGAGATGTCCATATTAGATGAAGGTGTTTTTGTTGTTGTTCTTTGTGCTCCACCAGCATGTGTGGGGTGGGGAGAGGCCTGTAGAGCTCCTGAGTCCTGGCAGAGCTCCCACCCCTTCCTGTGCCTGTGTTTGCTCCGAGCACTGGGCCTCCTCGTAAGCACAGAAGTCAGACCTCCTGCACCTGTGTCTGCCCAACCCATTTTGGACCCAGAATTTTCTGCTTTTCTCCTAGCTCCTACAGCTTCTGCCAGCCTGCTTAAAACCAAGTTAACCCGTCAGTAAAACCCAGAGTCTCAGCCTCCCCTTCTTGCTCAAGGAAACTTGGACTTCTCAGCACTGTTCTTCTCGGCGCCTTTCCTGGAGTAGCACGCTTCCCCT